TTCATCTAAATCATAGCTTTTATCTTATTGTAGAATATGTGTTGTATTTCAAGTTATTGTTATGATAATCTAAGTTTCAAATATATTTTTTGGGTTTCAAATATATGTTGAATAAAATAATTTTTAATTTACCAAAATTCTAATAAATATCTGTAAAAAAATTAAAAGGAAAGTTGCAATAAGTTTTTTAAAATATTTAAATATTTTACTAAATATTTAATATTATAATTTTCAGTAAACATATTTATAAAGAATTATTATATACATTTGATTAACTATTTATATTCCTTAAATAATCTATTCTATTATATTAAATTATGTATTTATCATCAAAGTGAGCAGTAAAGTTTTTCATAAAATATAGAGAGAATTTGTAAAAAATTGTGAAATAAGATAATTAATACTAATTTAATAAAAATTATTACTTAAAATGTTAACAGCTACTTATTATAATATCTGCATTTATATTTTATATATGTTTATCAATTTCTGTTATAAAAATAATATGATAAAATTTAATGATTAATAATATAATATTATTTAATAAATTAGTAAGATATTTGATTTCCAATCTTTAAAATATTTAAATTTTTGTATAACTATAAAATGCACTTAAAACTAGCCTTAAAAATTAATTATAATATTAAATTAATTTTATAAATTTTAGCTTTTTTTGTCAATATCTTATTATGTCTTAATATCTCATGAAAAAGTAAGTTAAAAAATTGATTTAAAGATACTGTATGTGTAAGGTTTAATCATCAAAATAATATATAAAATTTTGCTTTTATAATTTAAAAGAATCTCTAGATTTAAAATAATAAGTGATAGTTTATTATATATAAAGTTGTCTAGAATAGTTCATATATATTATTAATACTTATGTCTTGTATCTTTATATAGTATTTACTTTAAATATATTCATTAAATATTTAAAAATATTTATATAACCTTTAATCAAATAAAAAGATTTTTATTAAATTGATAGTTTTATATTTTTTATATTTTAATTAATCTAATATTATTTAATTTTATTATCATAACTGTAAATTAAGAAATAATCAACTCATTTATTATGAATTTTTTATATTAATATTAAATTAGTAAATATTTGCTTTTATCCTTTATAAATAAAAAAAATAAGTGTGCATTCTATATAATAATATTTAAATTAATACCTTTTTTATTATTAATACATTTTCTTAATTAAAATTATTAAATAGAATAAATAATATTTTTGACAAATAAAAATAGGTAAAATAATTAAAAAAAAATAATACAATTGAGTTGCAACTTATAATATAATTAAATTTCTTATAGTATAATTAAATTGTAACTTAATTAAAATTTGAAAATAATTATAAAAACTATCTTTACTAGTAAAGTTTTTAAGAATATTATAATAAAATAAGAGATATCATATATAATTATTATATCATTTTGATATAATTCATAAATATTATAAAATTATCTATATTAAGAATAATTAATCTTTTAACCTATTAGAAAATTATATGAATAGTCAGTTAATTACTAATAAAAATACTTATATAGTCAACTCTTGATATAGTGAACCCTTGATATAACAAATTTTTTGAACAAATATAATAAAATAATCTTATTATAGCGAATTGGCCAATCAAATCTCTTAAAATCTTCACTATAGCCTTATAGCAAAGTTGAGGTTTAGGACATAGAGTTTATTATAATAAGAGTTAACTGTAAAAATATCTTATACTTGTATTTTTTATTAAAAACTTTCTCACTATTATTATAAATAATTCTACATATTAAGATTTATGTTTTACAATTGTTTCACATTTTATTATTAAATCTGTTCTAGTTAAGATTTCTATTATTAATGAAGATATTTTACATAAACCTAGTAAAAGTTTAACTTCTATCTTAACTCTATTAATAAATTTATTATTAAGTTCTACTAAAAATAATAAAAATAAAACAATTTTATTTTATTATTTTATTAGTCATAATACTTCTAGCTTATAAATTAGTTTTAATTATTAATTGTTAAAAAACCTTTTAAAGATAATTTAGTTTTCTTAAGCATTTTCTAAATTTTTTAAGATTAAAAATAGGTTTTATATTATATAATTACTGTTTTATATATATAATACTTTTATATTAATTTAATTTTCTTATTAAAAGAAATTAACTCTAAAGAATACAATATATAAAAAAGTAATTAAAAATAAATAAAATGAATAAAAAATCAAACTTAATTAATTTTACTTCATTAAATTCTGTATATACTTTATGATATGTAGACTTCAATTCTTAAAATTCAGATTTAAAATAAATAATATTATGTCATAATATATATATATTATCTTAAGATTTTCTTTCAAAATCCTTTTTGATACTTGATATATTCTAGATTTATATCAGTTTTATATAAGTAATAATAATATAGAAAGTAAAATCAGGCTTTAGGAATTTTTGATTAAAATTAAGATCTTATAATATTTTAATTAAAATTAAAATGTAATAAAAGTTAAAATTTTTGTTAAATAACTCCTAAAGCTTAATTTTTCTAACAATCATTTTATATATTATACTTTTTATAATAGCTCAAAAAATTTTATTAATTATTATAAAGCTTTCTTAATATTTTTTATTTTCTTATTATGTTAAGCTATAAAAATAGAATCTGTATTTTAAAAGTAAATATTTATTATTGATTTTAGATTTTTTATTATTTACTATTAATCTATTAATAATATAAAGCTTTTTTTAATTAATTTTAATTCTAATTTAAACTTAATATTTTTATTTTTTAAATACAATTGATATATCATGTTTTTTATAATTATAAAAAACTTTTTTTTAGTCTTCTAATTTATAATATTAAACTATTTTTCTTAGTAAAAAGAATTATATCTTTGTGATAAATTTTTTGTATTAATATTTTACTTTATATTCATTTTTCTAATAATAAAAATACTAGAATTAATTAAATATTTATTAGTTAATTTCTAAATTACCTTATCATTTATTGAATTACTTTAATAATTTATAAATAAAAAGCAAACTTTAATTTTTTTATTATAACCTTTACCAATTCATATTTATAGATACTAATCTATTTAAAGTTAGATAATTATCATTTTTATAAGAATTTATTATATAACAATTATTTTAAAAATCAACTAATCATATTTAAGCTTATTATACTATATATAAATAGTTTTGATTTATTTATTTTTTACTTTTAAAATTTGATTAAATCAGTTTTTTGTATATTTATTACAATAAGTTTTTAAATAATTATATTTACATAATATTGTTTTTCAAGATTTTTACTCAAATTTGCATAGAGAAAAATATGTTTTTTATGATTGTAAGTTTTCAAATCAACCTGCTAACAAATGTGTCTTTTCATATTTTTCTTTTTAGAAATCACTCATATTTTAAATATTATTTAAAAAGTTTATTTATTTTTAATATTACTAATATTTAAGAATATGATAAAATACAAGATTTTCTTTTATTGTAAATAAAATATTTGTTTGTATTATGAATCTTTCATATTGAATGTTATTATTTTAGATAGATGTTATTTGAATCACTTGTTTATTATTAACTTTGTGAATGCATAATAAAAATATTATTATATCCTAAGTTTTAGTGATATCTTTTAGTGAGATTATTCTCTTAAGATTATATATTTCTATGTGTTCAATTTCTCTAAAGCATGAGAATAAGTCTTTGCAAATAATACTATTCCTATAGTATCTGTTTAGAATATCATACTCTTTTTTGATTGAATCTGATCTGATTTACAATCACTTTCTCTTTTTTTTTGTTTTGTTATCAATTAGAATATCACGTTAAATTCGTTCATTAAAATTTAAACATAAATTCAGCAGAGTCACTTAGTTTTAACATTTATAAAAATTCTTTGATAGCAATCTTGAAGCATTAGGCTAATTATTTTAGGTAGATTTCATTTGAATTTATCACTTGCCTGTTATTAACTTTGTGAGGTTTAGGGGTGAACAGTAAAAATCATATTCTAAGTCTTGGTGATATCTCTTGGTAGGATTATCCTCTTTAGACTGTGCCCAATTTCTCTAAAACATGAGAGTAAACCTTGGCAGATAATCCTATTTCTATGGCATCTGTTTGGGATGTAAGACTCTCTTTTGATTGAATCTGATCTAATCTGATCCACAACTACCCTCTCTTTATTATCACTTAGAGCATTGCGTTAAATTCGCCCATTATAATTTTAATTAAACTTGGTATTTCAAAATTTTTGAGGTACGAAAACCTGCATTTTGCATTTTCTTTTAATACAATTCTTCAGTAGAATGTTTCTGATCATGAAGTTTTTACATCACTTACAAAAAAACATAAGTTGATCGCCTTGTGGAAAAGGAATAGTTAATTTTTTTATCTTTAAATAAAACCTTCCAAAAAAAAAGTTCATTTAATTGTAAATTGGTATATTAGATCATATACCAAATTTGATACGCATAAAAATTAGTATATATATCCTTTTATCTTGTGAAAATGCATTCTTTATTTTATTTTATTTTTTTTCGGGGCCTTGAATTAAAAATAAACGTCCATTAATTTTAACAATCGTGTACTATTTATTTACACAAGAAGAATGGTTGGTAACTATGTTTTTATACACTTGGATCTAGCGAAATTTCGACAAATCCGAAACCCCTTTAGCCCATTTGGGATGACAAAAACAAAGTGTTATTGTTGCTAAAAATGTATGTCATATAGAAACTTCAATCCAAATTTGGTCATGATCATTAAAATATTTATCGTGCTTACTGCGCATTCTGCGTAAAACAACCATAACCGAAAACAAAAAGATTCATGCTTATTTGGAAACAAAAGTCAAAAAAAAAACATATATATATATATATTTGATCAAATCAAAATTTCTTTTACTTCAAAAAAGAGAAAGGAAATTATTATTATTTTTTTTTTTCTCTACCACCAAAACCAAATTTAGTTCGAAAATGTCAGGAAGTAACGTAAATATCATGACAATTTTAGACCCTTGTTATCAGGAATGTCATGATTTGATCATAAGTTATTTAAAAGATGATATGGAAACCTTATATTCGTGCATCCGCGTGAATAGAACATTTTGTCGAATTTTTATTCCGATCCTTTGGAAAAATCCTTTTAAATTAATTAAAAAAGATGACGATAGATTAATTCAAGTGTTTAACACATTGATTCAGTGTCTTGACCCATCAGATAAAAAATGGTTGTCTAGAAAATCAATTGAAATAGAGAAACTTTCTACACCCAGGGCTTATTTTAATTATCAGACTTTTATCAAAGAATTTGAATTGAATCCTTTGCAAAAAGCAATGAGATTTTGGACTTCGAGAAATTTCTCAAGCGGAAATGACCTGCCTCGAAATGGTCAGTCTCGAGTTTTAAGCGGAGGAAGGAGGGTCAGCAAAAGAGTATTTTATATTAACAAGTATATTGGGGATTTATTTTTTAACAAAGGGGGTCAATATGAGACTCTTAACTTGTTTTATAATGATTTATTAAGTGGACCAAGGTCGATACTTGATATTTGTGAACATCAGAATCATAAGTATAGTTTAGTTAACGTTAAGAAATTTTCGATTGGATTATTCAATAATAACGGTACGGACTTGATGACTCCTGTCACAGAATATGTGTTAAAGCTTCAAAATGTTTTATCACCAAATATTCAACACTTTCAAATTCTTCATATTAATTCGATCAAACCTAAATTATCTAGAAATTTAATTAACTTTATTCAATCTCAGAATCAGTTAAAGTCATTATTATTATCCCATGAATTTTGGAGGGATGAATTTGAACCCTTTCTTAATGCCCTACGAAAGCATTCGAAATCTTTAACTGTTTTTAAATTAGAAAGTTCAATTTTATTCACCTCAAACCTATTATCCATGTTAAAATCATTACCAAATTTAATCACGCTCGAACTTAGGATCACGCTGACTTCTGATAGGGATGTTTCACGAGAAATTACGACGATTACTTTGGATAGTTTAGAACATTTAAGTTATGATTGTTTTACCTCTCATAATACAAATTCCATTACAATCTTTAAACAGATCCTTTTATCGGCGAAAAAGTTGAAATCACTTAAAGTTGAAGATTCTTATTGTCCTTATATTAAGGAAATTCAAGGGTTATGTTTTTCGAATTTAACTCACTTTCATTTGGTTCTGATAATGCATTCAATTTCATTAGTGGATTTATTGGAATTATTAAGAAGCATGTATCAATTAGTTCACTTGAAATTAAGTACCGCTATAATTCGTAATAATACCTTGAATCACGTTGAACTTTTTAACGGTTTCCCTAAAGTGCTCGCTTGTTCTCTCAAAATCTTCGAATTTAACCTTCCTGTCTCTGATAAATCTTTGGAAAAGTTACTTGATGAATCTCAATTTAAACTTGAATGTCTCAAGTTGTATCGTTTGGAACGTTATCCGATTATTTCATTAAAAGTTTTTATCGATTATGCAAAAAGGAAAGGCAGTTTTAAAGAACTTGGTATTACAAAGGAATTTAAATTTTCAAAGGAGCGTGTTGTAGAGGCAATGAATTACTTTAAAATAACTGTACTCACGGATGGTGAAATCTATAGTCCATTTTATGGTAAGTTTTGATTTTACGATTTGATTTTATCCCGATATTAAAAAAAAAAAATTATCTTTTTTTTTTTTTAGATTTACCCATTCAAAATTCCTACTGGAGCAATAGAAGATAGATAAGATAACCCGCGAGAGATTTTTATTTTATAATTTTTAACAAATATGAACATTTATATACATTTGTCAATTTTTATATTTCATTACCATCATTAACAATAAAATCCGTGTCTTTTTTTTATTGTCCATTTTTAAGATCTTTCGTTTGATCCATATAAATATATAGCAATTCTTTCCTTATTTCGTTTCAAGATTGGCCATGGATGATTGTCATACAATTGAGGAAGTTTAAATTTTAATATAGTTTTGAAAAGATTCGAGGTTAAATTAATTTATATTTTATAGTTTTTGAATCTGACCCATCACAGCTATATTTAAATTTAATTTAATCTTATAACCAAGAAAATAATAACTTATCACCATGGAGCGTGAAGATCTTAGACTTCTGGGTTTTAGGTTATTATCCTAGACCTCAATTGAATTATATCGTACTTTTTTTTTAAACCTAAACCTTATTTTAAGAACAACGGTTATATTTCTCAAACGCCATGGGTAATTAATATACAAAATTTTTTAATTTAATTGTCCGGACATGTAGCACTGGGGTGTGCGGTCAACTAATTATTTGCCGACTTTTATTACGATTTTCCTAATAAAAAATCCTAAACCTTTAAAGTTCAATAACTTCGGTATAAGTTTGCATTCAGACAAATTCAAACTGTAAATAAATACATTTTTAACCTAAAAAAAACAACGTGACACCTCGCTTTCTTGAAAAACAATAAAGAAAAAATTTTGTATTTAGTGAGCTGTGCACAAAAAGATTTATTTATTATTTCTTGAAGCGTTGGAAAAAACGAGCTGTTACATGAAAGAGACAACAATAATTTAGAATATTTTGTAAAATTTGGATCGGAAAAAATCTAAAGTTAATAAAATATAAATAACCGAATTTCTGTTTGTCTTAACCTTGTATTCCGCTAAATGTTTCCTTAAACTAGTTATTTTTCTAGTACTCACTTTTTTTGTATGTATGTAGTTTGGTAGTAAAAAAAAAAATGTTAGGAGTGGTCATGTGAAAATATGTCATGTGAGAACTGGATTTGTGTTAGAAATGCGGTTTAGTCTTTCGTATTCGGAGATTATGATTGTTGATCAGTTGGAGGTGTTGCTGGAGTCGGATCTGTTGGAGCCGAATTGGATGGAATGAGTTGAAGTGTTCTGGAGTAGAGAGGCTGGGATTGGGTTAGTTTGTAAAGTTTCTGAGAGGGTTTGAGTTGTTGCAGGAATTTGTGCTAAGGAAGTTCGGGTTTTTTAGGAATAGGTCCTCTGATTCGATTATTTTATTAGGACTACGTTGAGTATTGTTGTATGGGGAGTTCATCCATGGAAGGGTTATGGATTGGGTTCGGTAGTGGATATGTCACCTAATCTAAGGACATTTTTTTGCGGGGGGATCAACGGTGCGCAGATCGTAGGTTAAGGCATGGCAGTGGTTGACTTGATTGATTGGTTTATAGCAGACTTATTTGCTAGGTAGGTGTCGTTTGCTTTATGCCTAGCTTCTAGCCAAAAATCGTGGGGTTCTTGGTCTCCTACTCTTTCTTCGACATAAAAATCGAGGATTGATTCCCCATTAACAGTTCGGACAGTTTGGGTGGATCCAGTGATCATAATGTTCATTCCTATAGCGGGAATCATTTCATACTCCAAATTCATTATTTAAATTGAAGTAGCGTTAACCTTATCAAAGAAAAAAATGGGGATGATTGAGGGGTTTTTTTTCAAGATAGTATTATAATGAGTGAGGACATACGATGTACCGTAATAGTTTTCGTAAGGAATGAGTTTTCCTTGTAATAAGATTGCGCTTCCATCCTCGAATGAGTCAATTTTTGATTCTATATTTTGGTTGATGAAATGAATGAGGAATCAATATTCGTAGGTTCTTTTTAACTCAATTTGACGATACCAACGATTTCTTTTATTGTGTACATAACAATATTTTAACAATTTAGAGGGCATTTTAAGATTTTTTTTTGATCGATGAGTGAAATTTGTTTTTTTTTTTTTGTGAAAAGGGTAAAGTTCGATAATAGAAGGATTTTTTTTTTATCTTTCTAATCTGAGGTGAGGGGTAGGTAATAATTTAAGTGTACAATTTGACAAAATAATACATAAGGAAAAGTTTTATTATAAAATTCATTTGAGTCAAATAAATAAAAGAGAGTAGAACCCATATTTATAGACGACAACAAGATGACACACGAAATTACGTTATCGTAAATTAAAAAAACCAACCTTTTACCAGTAAAACCCAAATTAAATTGTGTATGAATAAAGAAAAAAAAAAAAAAAAATTTTAAATAAATTAATGGTCAAATGACCTTATGTGTGTAACCAATACAATCTGCTTTATAAATTTCGGAACACTGTTACAAAAGACTTTTGCACCAGACTGTATAACGATAAGGCTATTCTATTATCTATTAGACAAGTTGTTTATGATGATCATTTTTTGTTATACTACAGTAACATATAAATAAAAGGTCACCAGGACAATAAAAATAAAAAAATTTTTTTTTAAATTATATTATATGATTATTCAACAAACCTCTTCATTATGCATAAAAAGAAGTGTAACTATGGATTTACTATACTTTTCTATACAATATAAAAAAAACTTCGTAGGAATATAAAAAATTTTTTTATAAGAACCGAGCAAATTTTTGTCAAAGAAAAAAAAAAAAGAATTTCTTAAAAATCCCAACTTTTTCATTTATTAATTCACGAATCTATTATTCCGTAAATTAAAAATCCTTCTTAAAATGAATAACTCAACAGAAAATTATGAAAGATACGAAAATTTTGGAACCCTAGAATCGGATATTTTTTGCAGTGCAAACGCTGCCTACGATGGCTTTTCCGCGACAAGTGATAAAAATCATAAAGTAACTCCGCCAAGCACAACTAGTAATTACAATCAGTATTCTACAACCTCTTTTGCAAATGAATCGACCTCTTACAATTCACAATCTATCGGTCATAATGCTATTGAACAACAGATGATTCTAGAACAAAATCTACCAACATTTGTTCCCCAACTTAATAGACCTTCAATTAATTCACCTATATCGACTAATGCTAGCTCTCTCCAAATACAAACGGTTGAAATTCCTGGTTATACAATTATTATAATCCCCAAATTTTCCCCATTGGCAAGTTTAACTGGTTTAGACGTACAAAATCAAATTCAACCAGGCAATGGTCGTTTGGATAATTCTTCTTATTCGGTTAATCCACCACAATTAAATCAAAAACAGAATTTTCCCTTTACAGTAAATGGATATGAATCTACACATTTAAACGTGCAACATCAACTTCAACCAGGCAATGTTCGTTTGAATGATTCTTCTTATTCGGTTAATCCAGCACAATTAAATCAAGAACAGAATTTTCCCTTTACAGTAAATGGATATGAATCTACACATTTAAACGTGCAACGTCAACTACAACCAGGAAATGTTCGTTTGGATAATTCTTCTAATTCGGTTAATCCACCACAATTAAATCAAGAACAGAATTTTCCCTTTCCAGCAAATGGGTACGAACCTACATCTTGTTTACCAAATTTAGACGTGCAACATCAACTTCAACCAGGCAATGTTCGTTTGGATTATTCTTATTCGGTTTAATCCACCACAACACTATTTTTCTGAAACTTCTTTTATTGAAAATGTTATTAATAATCACGTTTCGGATAATGTACAACTCAAAGTCAACTATTAATTAATAGCTTAACAATTTCAACGACATGTTTTTTCTAATTTATATAATTTTTATCAACAAATTATTTTTTCCTTTTTGTGTATTTTATTTATTATTTGTTGTGTATGTTATTTATTACCTCATAAATAAAGTTTAAAAATTTACTTTCGGATATAATACAGTACATCAATACTCCATAACAACTCACTTTCAATACATATTATTAACATGAAGATTTTGTTTTTTAAGATTTCAGATGCACCGAAAACTTTGCAATGCTTACATTAAAAAAAAAAAAAATGATTTTAAGTAACCATTAATTTTTTAAAGTAATCAAATATATAAAATTATTTAGATGAAAAAGCTAATTTAATAACAATTTTCGTGTCATTTTAAATTTGGTTTAGATATTAAAAACGATTTCAACGAAGGCAAAGTTACACTTAAATTAGGTAGACAACTTTAATGTTTAGAGCGGAAAAGCGGGTTAAAAAAAAAAAAGAAAACAACTATTCGTTTAGGATGACTTTGAATCATTATATAATAAAGATTTAATCTAAATAAAAAAAAAAACTTAAAGAAACTTAAAAATTTCAACATCCATTTATAATATACTCGCTAATTAGAATAAATAATGAAAATTATTAATTATAAAATAAGAGGTTAAATAAATTAAAAAAAAATAAGAATATAAATTTAGGATAACAACAATACTAAGAATATTGAATTAGGTTAGGTTAAGAGATTAGTGAAATAAGATTTTAGGTTAAGTAAAGTTTTGGTTGTTATTAAGTTAAATTAAATTAGTTTAACTAATATATAAAATTAATATAACATAATAATTATTTTATTAAAATAATATTTGAAAGATTGTTAAAAAAATCATGATTTTTAAAACTTAATAACATTAATAACCAAAATGTAAAAAAGTTCTAAATTTATTAAAAAATTTTTAGAATCTATTTTTTTTAGTAATCTTTTCAAATATTATTTTAATAAATATATAAAATAGAACAGTAATTGTAATAATAATAATTTATAAATAGTAGTAAACTTTCTGCAATTTTTTATAAACAAATAATACTTTATCTTTAATTCTATTAAATATTAAAAATATTGTTTAATATAAAATAATAAATTACTTACTAATATAATAATAAGAATATTATTTTTAAAAATAATAATATATTATTTTAAAGGAATAATTAGTGAATTACTTTAATAAAATAATAAAATAATTTTAATTTAATAATAAAAACAATTATTTAAAAAAAAATATAAATAATAATATTTTATTAAATAATAAAAAATAAAATTTTAAAAGAATAAAAAATACTATTGATTTATTTTAAATTAAAATTAGACTTAATTTATAAATTTGATTTATATAAATAAATTTACTAATTTGATTTAATATGAATTTTCAGATTGGCAATCCTAGTTTAGTTAGTAATAATTGAGCCCCTATTATAGGTTACACTGCAATAGCTACAGGTTCAAGTTTTAGCTGAGGCATAAAATTAGATAATTTTCATAAGAATTTCATATGTAACTGAATATATAAGCATATATACTAATATGCGTTAGAAACTGGTTGATTGATCTATCGATTAATGTTGATCATGCATAAATACTGGGTTTGAAGAACAAGTAGATGCAAATGAAGCCAGAGATCGACAGAAACTTGGCCTTCGCTGATAGGCCTGTAATAGGTACTGTTTCACATCTTCAAATTTAGGGACCCTTACACAAGTAAGAAAGTGATTAACTAGTAATTAGTAGATTGAGTACTATTTACAGATGGCTATGGTGATAATAGACTGCATTGCACTGATGCAATACCATCCAATTAAGCTATCACTAGGAGTAAAGATTGGGTTCAATTCCTGAGTGAATTTGATAATATAGGTACGATAGCCACCTACCTTTCTGAGGTTCTATAAGATAAACAATGTCTAAGTCTTCCTGATCATATGTAAAATACTCTGATACTAAGCAGAGATAATAGTGATCCAGATATAGTGTTAGTAAGTATAGGGAAAAATCTGACAAAAGTACCTGTGACTAAAAGTAATCCTTCTATTCAAATTTGACAGTGATTCTGAGGTCTAGGGACTCTAAAGGCTAGCTCTTAGAAATATCAACTTAGGTGATAATCTTCAGACCAATATCATAGGGTGAGTTTTGGCTAGAACGAATATGTTTAGTCACAACTTAGAGGGAGCTTAGAATAAGTCGAGGATTATACCTTAGTAGTACTATCTGTTTAATGATACCCTTGTACTGGATACTGCAACTATGAAAAAAAAAAGATTTAATATGAATTTTCTTAATTTATAAATTGATTTAACTAATTTAAATTTTAATTATAGTGCAAACAGCTTAGTCGTATCAAATGGCTAAGCCACCACTGAAAATTTTGCCAATTATTTCCATATTAAATTCAAAATTTCATTGGTCAAAAATTATATTATGTGATCAAATTATAAACACATGATCAAATTATAGTTACGTGATTGTAGTTAAATTGTGAAATTCTAGCGTTATTTTACATCATTTGCAATAATTTTATTTCTTTTCTTATATCTCAATTTAATAGAATTAGAATGTCAAAATCAAATAAACGAACTAGACAGTCTTGAGAAGCTATCAAGAAATGTTGGAAACAAGCTGAAGAAATAATATTTGAGCTATCAGATGCTAAACTGGATGAGTTTGATAAATCATAGTTAGCACTATTTAGATAGAAAGTGAGAAAACACATTTTGATAGTGATGAAATTACAGATGGAATACAAGCATGAAAACTAAATACATTAGAACATTTGATAGAAAATGCAAAGTCATATATATAAATTGTAAATTCATGCGGACCAGTGTATAATAGTGTTGTAAAGTTAACATTGCGCAATACAGTCAGGGGTATTTCCAAATTTGGAATCGATTCCAGAATATTCTGCTGATCATGCCGATCATTTTAAATAGGAAAT